TATAAGTTTATCAGGGGTGACCACCAGGATCTGGGGGAGCGTTTGTTCACCAGAGCGCCCCAAGGGGTGACAAGGTCAAACGGTGATAAACTACTACAAGGCCATTTCAGGCTGGACTTAAGGAAGAATTTCTTTACTGTTCAAGCCACCAAGGTCTGGAACAGCCTGCCATCGGAGGTGGTTCAAGCACCCACATTGAACACCTTCAAGAGCAAATTGGATGCTTATCTTGCTGGGATCCTATGACCCCAGCTGACTTCCTGCCCTTTGTGCAGGGGGCTGGACTCAATGATCTTCCGAGGTCCCTTTCAGCCCTAATGTCTATGAAATCTATGAAAGAAGCAGTTGTTTTTCCCTCAGCACTCCAAGTAGACAACTTCAGGAACTTCTAGGAGCTCATGAGGAAGGTGGCTCAGATTGCAGATTCCAGTTGAGAAGAAGGGTGAAAAGCTCACATGCAGGATCATAGATATTTTATACCAGACTATCCCTAGAAAGCTTGTCTTTCTCATCAGTTACATCAGGGGTTTTCAACCTTTCTAAAGGGTACACTTCTATTGGGGCAGGGGGATGTATAGCAGCAGCCAGATGCAGGGGTGGGGGCAAGCAGCAGCTGGACACAGAGTGGGAGGGTGGTAGATGGTGGAGGCTGCGTGTGAGCATCTCCCCCCGCTACCCCCCACATCCTGCCAGCTGGGCATGCCTGTGCCGCCAACATAGGGGAGTTGCTGCTCTCCCTCCCAACTCTGATCCTGGAAGGCAGCGGTGCTCCGTCCCTGCCTGCCCGTGCATACCCCCTAACCTCTTTCCAAGTACCCCTGGTTGAAAACCCCTGAGTTACACAATAGGTTTTTCATTAATGTTTGCAAAGCAGCCAACTGAAGCTCCACGTACACCTTCACCAAACATTACATCATCACACCGATGTCTAGAGCAGACAGTGGATTCGGCAAAACAGTCCTTCAGACACTATTTGCATGGGACTATTGGAGTTGCATCCATGTGGATTGGGCACTACTTTGGAGTTGCCTATAGTGGAATGTGCATTTGGACAAGAAGGAGAAAGAGAAGTTATTTACCAAGAGCTGTGCTGTTCATTCTGTATTCTGCCTTCTGTCCCCTCCTCAGAATTTCCAGTACTCTGGGAATTTACATTAAGAAGCACATACTACCCTTTAGACCAGGGCTGTCAAATTCATCCTGGGCTCTGGGCTGGATCCAAACCATCAGCTACTTCTGAGCTGGATCCATGGTGCCAGCAGCAGCTGTGGTGAGCCTGGGGGCTGTGGAATGGATTTCCCC